CATCCGTATGTCAACTGCACCCTAGAAATAATGCAGCGAAATCACTACTCCAGGGTAACAAAAACTAATCACAAGGACCATATTCTATTTGACCGAAATTATGTACCTGTTAAAATTATATCTCTTTGAAAAAAATATATACATATCCGTTATACTTTACGTTATTACGGTTACACTAAATAGTTTGTGTTATTACACAATTGTCCGTTTTTTATTTTTCATAACGCTATTTTTTTTAAAAAAAATAGTTTTATCTATATTCGGATATTTAACATCCAAATTTATGAAATTTTCGGATGTTAAAACATCCGAAAATAGCGCGATAGTGTATTTCACTTCGTCTTCTTAAAGAAAATCCAAGCACCAAATACGCTTTTGCCACCTGGTGTGTAATACCCATTACTCGAATGACCACCAGATGGAGAATCAAGGCCCATGATTCGATCTTTAGGAAAAATAAGGCCTGTATATACTGCAAAATTTGCAGAAGTACATAAATAGGCCTGAACATTAACACCCCATTTCTCAGAATCCAAGTAAAAAGCAGCTAGCGCTCTTTCACAACAGAGAAGTTCGATTTGATCGATGAATTGGTTTCCCCCATAATACCTAGAACCAGGCAAACCCTCTGAGTACTTGTTCGTAAGGTGACTCCCTAAAGCTTCTAGAACAGCTTGACACACAAAATTCTCGGAAACCCTCTGAATTCCTTTCCATTGTCTCTGCTTCTCCTTCTCCATGAGAGCCCATAGATCAGGATCAATCGTGGCTAAAGGTTGCTTTCCCCAAGCCCTAATTGCCATTCTCCTGGCTTCTAAATCCATAGGCGATGGTGAACATGATTCATGTTGCTGCCTTTTCTGAGCAGAAACCACAGAGCCCTCCCTCTCTCTTCTTCTCTTCAAGCACATGGGGTAACCCAATATGCTGAATTCTTCTTCTGTCTGTTCCTCCACTTCTGTGTCTTCCACACAATTGCCGTAATCAGATTGCTCAAGCAGCTGCAATGGTATCGAGGAAGCAGAATTCGATGACTGATCATTGGAAAAGCTCGAATCGAGTTGAAAGTAAATTGAATCATCAGCAATGGGGGTTCGAACAGGTCCATATGCTTCATGTTTGTCAGAAATGGAATGGACATTAAACCTTAGAGAGAGGTTCGAGCGTGTATCAGATATGTCCATTTCTAGGGTTACGGCGAGGATTTTGAGACTTCTCCTGAAACTGAAGGGACGATTGAGGGGCTATCCCTATTAGGTGTGGAAATCAAGGTTTGAGCAACAATATGTTTTCGAATGTTGTAGATCCGAAATGAAGTTTTCGAATGCACAACATCTGAAAATGTCATAATTTTGGATGTTGGACATCCGAAAATGGCTTTGCGAACATCCGGCAAGTCTGAATATTCACAGGCAAGTTTTCTGATGTCATAATTGGGATGTTGAATTTCCAAAAACCGGAAAAAAATGCTATTGGAGCTACAGCTATTTTTGGATGTTGAACATCCGAAAATTTCACAAATTTGGATGTTGAACATACGAAAATGAACAAAGATATCTTTTTTTTAAAATGACGTTATGGAAGACAAAAAACGGACAGTTGTGTAACAATAGAAACTATTTGGTGGAACCGTAGTATCATAAAGTATAACGGATTTCTACATAATTTTCTCAATTTTTCTATGCAATTATTTGTTTTTCCTTACCCCGCCTGCCTTGAAGCGCAGCAAGGTTTTGGCCAATAATGGTAAAGGCGAGGCACTGGTCATGCCCTGTCCGGAAATACCCAAGGGATAGCCCGGCCCAGAAGCTATTGTTCATGCCCTGCCATCCCAGACTGAAGCTCGGTAAGAATCTTATTAGGCTGGGCTTGGGCCGGACCTAGGTCTGGCCCCATTAGAAAACCTCGATGTTTTTATCTAAGCTTTTCTTGTGTGTATTTAGCCAAAAAAAATTGCTAAAATATTTTTTAGACAGAAAGATTGGATTTAGATATTAGGTTTCTATAGAGAGAAAGAGAGATTAGGTTCCTAGAAAGAGAAAAATGGATGGGAAACTTATCGATATCAATCTCAAACCCATATAATATGAGATTTCTCTATGTATGTAATTTTAGATATCACCATATCCAACAAATATCAAAATCATTTGCTCAATGTGCCAACATCCATTGGATAGATCTTTTGCCAAATAAATTCTCTCATCATTCTTGCTGAAAAGATTTTGCTTGCCATTATATTTCTCCACCTCATATAAAAACTTTGTATACTTTGTCATGTGCTTTTCTTAAAAAATACACACACCCTGGCCTTGTACTGAACCATGCTCGCATACTTTGTCATGTGTTTTTCTTCAAAAATGCACAAACACTAGCCTTGTACTGAACCATGCGCTCTGATACTACTTATTAGTACTTAAGAACCCTCTTAGATGTGGAAATAGAAATCCAAAAAGAGTAAGACTCTTGTAGTATATCTCTTGGTTTTCATATATATATAACATCTATAAGAAGTTTTCTAGTTAGTATGAAGTCCTAACTTTATATATATGAGATGAAAGATGAAAGACTAGGTGTGCTTCCTCTGCATCATAGGCACTGCATCCCCTTAGAGAGAAGAGAGCTTCCTATAGAGAGAAACATCATGACACTTAAATAAAAGAGAGCTTTCTATGGATAGGAACACGACCTCCCCCTTCGAGGGAAAAGAGTTTCCTATGGAGAGAAGTACCAAGATGTGCTTCTTGTATTTTGAGAGCCTGGTTTCTTGTAAAGAAGCTGTTATAATGAAGATTTTGGATGGTTTCCCATTTTAGTAAGAGAAAGTCTCAGTTGCTTATATAGTTCTCCTCCTGAAGCGGTTCCCATAAAGATTTTGGGTGGTTTCTCCTTTTAGTGAGAGAAAGTCTCAGTTTTAGTGAGAGAAAGTGTCGGCTTTAAGGTTCTCCTCCTAGATAACTCCCATGAAGATTTTGAGTGGTTTTCCCTTCTAGTGAGAAAAAGTCCTAGTTGCTCTTAAGGTTCTCTTCCTGGACAATGGACAATAGTTTAGCTGTGGAAAAGAGATGTGTCTCTTTTTGGACAATGGTTTAGCTGTGGAATAGATATGAGAGATCGGGGGTGTTGTATCAATCGGGAAAATGGGTCTGAAATTATTTGCTAGGTAACTCTATGTTGCAAATTCTATGATGTAATTTTCATTAGTATAATGGATGTAGCCATTCTGGGGTGAACCATGTAACGTTTGTGTTTCATGTTTTATTTATGATATTATGGCTCTACTCTCTCCTAACCCAATTAAAAGAGAATACATTCTAACTCAATTTTATGGACCCACCTTCAAATCCTTTTAGAATATCAAAGTTGAGAGAGAAAGGAAATTGATGGAATTAAAGGTAACAGTTTTGTTTTTGTAGTCTTTATTGTTGCATCCTCTGATCATTGTTGTCGAGGATAATGAAACAGTACTGAACATTGAAGGAAAAATTGCATGTTCTAACCGGTGATCCTCCGGCCATTTTGGTGACTGGTCGGATATTTTAAAAAATATATATAAAATATCAAAAAATAAAATAAAATATCAAAAAAAAAAATAAAAAATTGTAATGTAGTTTTTAATGTTTTTAGTCGATATGGCAAAGATTGGAAATTGTTTTTGCCATTAATACTTATTTTTATATTTTTTTCATTTTTTGAAAATTTTGAAAAATACCTTTGGCACAAATCGATTGTGCTTTGTTTAATCATTCTTTAAATATTTTTCATATTTTATTAGATTTTTTATATTTTTTATTTTTTTAAATTTTTTTTGACCACCCAGGACTTGTCCGATTAGAACAGTTGAACCAACTTGTTTACTAGTTGACCAGTTGAACCACTTCCAAGCCCATGTCCGGTTAACCTTTCAGGTCTAATTTTTCCTACACTACTACTGAGTGACACACCGGACAAATTGGGGATTGAGGCAGTATGTTCCACCTTAAAGTTTACACTCTATTTCTTCATGAATCGTTTTTCTATTTGTAGGACTAGTCATAACAGCAATGTGATTTGAAAAACTGCAGTTTGAAGTCTCAAATTACTGGGAAGCTTTAGGGATCCTTGCAGCCCATGAAGCTGGAATAAATCCCTATTCCCTGAGAAATAAATGGCATTGATAGGAATAGGATCAAGCGCTTTATGGTAAGGAAAATTGTTTCATGCGGGTTGGATGACATTTCAACAATATGCGGTCCCAAGGGATAAAGCATCCATCTTAAAGATGGATGCAAATTGGTGGTCCATCTAAAAACAATTGAATCTAATGGTCCAAATGTTTTCTTCATAAAATCATTAATTTTATTTCTTAAACTTTATTTATTTTTTATATTCATGATGACCATGTTAGAGATTACATGTCCTTAAAAATTGGGTCCGAAAATCCATCTCAAAAATATATTTTTAAGAGTCGACTCATTTCTACATGGACTCATAGAAACTGTCCTTATGGAAATGCCTTCATTTAATGGCTGTGTGGCTTCTAGGGCGTTATAGCAGCCTTCGTCAACCAGGTTGATATTTGTAAGATTTGTCCTATGGTATGGGTTGAACCAAACTTCACTTTTTTGTTTTTTACTTTCTGGATTTGGATAAGTAGAAGAAATGCCAAGGATGGTAGATTTTGAATCATCCTTTGCATGTTTGGCATCAAGAATTGAAAGTTGTTGTGCTCTTGCTGTATATCCAGAAATCTGTGTATCTCCTGGAACAAAAAGAAAAAAAATCTGCACACCTCCAATGTAAATCGACCTGTGGGCTTGTCTATGAAGAATTTGCAGCAAGCTTCTAAATGCTTGATTTATATGTGAAAAATGCAACTATTAAGACTGAACATGCATTCATAAATATATCCTTTTTGCCTAAATGTTCTTCGTTGTCTCCTATTTTCTTCTGTACTTGTATTTCTATTCTTGTAAATTGCATTTTTTTATGGTATTTTGTTCCTTTTAATATTCAATCTGTTTTCATTTTTTTTGTCTTCATCTTCTTCTTGCTCCTCCTTGAAGTTTTGACAAGATGAGTATTTTGACAAGATGAGGTCCGAAGCTCGAAACCAATGGTGTGCTAGTCCAAGTCTAAGGTCGTTGTTTACCAGCTCCATAGGTTTTTATTTTTATTTCTATTCTCACTAGGAAAGAACCCCGGAGAACTGACAAACCGGTTTGGGCAGTTCAAAGGTTCTGAGTAGGCTCAGAACTAGGGGTGGACCAGTTCGACCACTCGAGGTTCCTAGTTAACAGGAAAATTTCATACAAGATGATTGGTGGGAGTGGGCTGTCTCTCACCTGCCATTGATTGGCTGGGCTAGCCATCCCCACCGTTCATTGGGCATTTACCTGGCCTGTCATCTCATGAGATAGGTTACCTAGCTGAATTTTTTAGGGTTATAATAAATTTTCACAGTGGCTCTTTCAAGAGATCTGGGCTTGGACTCTTCATCTCTGGTTTTATTGGAGAATGCATGGTCATCTACATCTTTGCCATCTTACAACTGTACCTCAACTTGGCTGACTATTGATGATTCAATTCCATGGGAAAGCTAGCCACCCATGAACTCAGTTGGTCGACTGTTTGTCACTAAAAATATCAGCCGAGATTATTACCTACATGTGTCTATCTGGCTTCTTTACAATAAATATTGATCGCATGTATATCTTTTTTTATTATTTTCTCAATAGAAAAATCTACCTATCTTGTTAAAATGTGGTGAAAGAGAAATGAATCTTTCCATGAAGAAGGAAATAGAGAGGAACATAAAATGAGATGGTAGTACATAAAAGCCCTTTATGTAAAATAGCCATTCTATTATCCAAAATTCATAAATAAAAGGGCTCTAGGATGCTTATGTTACAGGCGGTAAACAATTAAGGAACCCACCATAACCATATGCTATTATGTGCTTTTTGCGAATCAGTCTTCGTTGCGAATCAGGTCTCATTTTTTTACTTTGGACTAGACTGACCAAGACACTAATTGGCAATTGAACTGGTCAGCCTAGGCAGTCTAGTCTAGTACTTATAAATACTTTGTCCTAGTTGCAAAGGAATTGGAGTTCATATGGAGTCTCCAACATGAAACGCATCGCGGATGATGCACCACACATTGCTAGCAATGAATACGTTGTGGCAATGCGGTCTACATTGGTAGATAGTCACAAGTCCAATTGAGCTCATTTTTTAAGGGATGAAAGTTTAGGGGTCTCTATAAAGGCATAAGCATGAAAATTAGGCATTATCTCTATAAAAACCCGTTTGTGCCTTACCCCAAATCAATTCAACCAGATACTTAGAAAGCCAGAGCAGAAACCTAAGAGATAGGAGAGCGAAGACCATGCTAAGAGATAGGAGAGCTAAGACCATGAAAGAAACCCTAGGGCTCTAGCATCAACCTCATTCCATAAAGCCTTAGTTTATACAAATCCTAGGGCGTCAACCTCATTACTTGTATCTAGAGCCCTAGTTTTTGTATAATGAATATCTCGGTTCAGCAGATTTATCCAGTTTCTAGTTGAGGAGCTGTCCCTCATACATCAGTTGAGTTTAAGATGGTTTGTTTAGTAGTGTATAATTATAAATTTTATCGCTCATGTATAATCATTCTTCCAATGAAAGGTATTGCATCGAACTTGTAAAAAACGGTTACCTAAAACAAGAAAATACCATAATTTATTTTTCCTAAATAACTTGTCATACCCTCCGAATGCATTGATGGATGATGATAACCTTATTGCCACAATGCTGTTAACTATACCAAAATAAGCCCCAAAACTTTAAGGGCATTTGCAGGTGCTAAACACTCTCCATCATCATCCAACCTAACCTATGAGAGACTTTACAAAGGTTTAATAGAGCAGGCAAAAGAGGATGATTGTACACTTACTCTCTTGTCAAACCTCCTAGGAATATTTTTTGGACCCCAATAGTTGGAGACACAATCAACTCATCCTAGTGATCTGAAAAAATATAGGCATGGCACCTTAAAATTGTCTAAAAAGAATCCTGGCCCAAGAGTGAACACCATCTCGAATGTCAGTTTTTCACTCAAGATCGATTTTTTCTTGGAAAACTTCATCTGATAATTCTAAAATGAATCCCTAATTTTCAAATTAATCATATCCCTTTGGGATCTAGGCAAGTACACTGTCCATGAATTGTCTCAGAGAGAGTCAACTAATGGAAGTTTAGTTAGGCCTAGCCCAATGCCCCAGCCAAATAGTGGGACCTCAAGTGCAAGGCCCGGCCCAGCCCAGCAAATTAGGGGAGTCCAAGCCTATGCACACCTTTTTCTCTGCCAATAAATTAAGAGTAACATATGACTTCAAAGCGTTCCGTCTTTCATATGCCTGGAGATATAGTATGTCCATAACCTTTGACAACTAATGCTATGCCTCACCATATATATACATATATATATTATTTTTTATTTTTTATTTTTTTTTTGTAGAGAGAGAGAGATTTCTCCCATAATAAACTGTATTCCTTTCTTTTTTCGGGTAAGTAATAAACAGTATTCTTAACCCAAATAGAGCAAATCATATGCTAACAAAAAGAAACCATATTCTTAACTCAAATAAGAGCATATCATGACCTAACAAAAAGCAATTGTCCTAATCCAATAAGAGTAAATCATATACTACCACTGTCCTAAGCCAAATACGAGTAAATCATATGCTACAAGATGATGTTCAATTTCCTACTCTAAGGATCTAAACAGATCCAAGACTCCCAACCCCTCAAATGAAGATCTGCTTTAATAATCCCGCCATCACAAGAGAAACACCATGAAAATCAAAAGCATTGCTTAATTCGACTTGCTTTGGAGGAGGTTCCTGAACCATGAAGCCGACATCTTGGGGTACCTTTTAAGAGTCTGGTAATCGACATAGACCAAGCCAAACCTTGAGGTGTAACCAGATCGCCACTCAAAATTGTCAAACAAAGACCAAGCAAAGTAGCCAACAACATTTACACGATCATCAATTGCCTTCTTCAGATTTATTAAGTATGACCTATAGTAATCAATTCTTTTTGTATCATGCAATGCAGCAGGAAGGGTAACATTGCCAGGATAATCCATCCCTAAAACACCAAAAGATAAACAAACAAATAATTAAACAACAGTACATACCCGACAAGCAAATAACAAAGATTTGTTGTTTCAATTCAAACTACAAGTACATAAACAACATATTGAGCACCTTCATAAATCAGCAAATCCCAAAATTGTTTCATGAACAGGACTGTCCATTCTTAAAACAAAGCTTTTTTTTTTTAAGGATCTGTTTAACTTTTAGAACAAAGCTATTTCAAAAAGGAAACTAAGCAAAACCATAAAATATGTAGTGTTGTTACCATTTTCAGAGAGAATGATGGTGGGATTTTTCGTAGTTCTCCTTGACGTAAATCATAGCATTATAAAGGCCCCATGGAACCATGTAAAGCCAGGAAGAGTATGCCTGCAGATCATTCACGGTATTTTTGCATAAGTCCTAAAACCCTGAGATACATGTTGCATGCTAGAGTTTTAAAAATTCGTTTACAAAAAGTTAATAGAAATTTAACATCCAACACTTCTGAAAAGAAATGGTAGCTTGGTCATCATTTCCTCCTAGATTAAAGGACCCTTTATAAAAAGGGTTACCCTAGCCAATAATAATAATAATAATAATAATAAATATTGTGCGCAAGAGGGCTAGGGTGTACAAACTTATTCGAAATATTACATCATCTTGGGAGGTTAGTTAAAACGGGCAAAACTATCAGAAAACAAAAGATGCTACCATTTTTCTCGATGTGTAATGTACTGTGTAATGTATAGATGAAATCAGATCTGATAACAGAACTCACCTGAGGTCCAATAGGTATCCCATCACGAGCAACTGGACATGACCAGAGCCAAATTCAGTAGGAGGATAAAAATGGAGAACCAGTAGGAACAATCAAAGCAAACCATTATGCACGTTTAAAATGCTTTAAAATGAACAGAAATAAATGTTTAAGCGATGTGCATGGCTGTCCATTGATCAAATCATACAATATGTTAGCTGTTCTTCATTTTTTTTTTTTAAAGGAAAACTTACAGGCAAATCCAGCATGCCATTCCATCTGGTAACCCATGACAGTTCCCTTTTTAATATGTTGATCGTACATATAATAAGTTGTATACTGGTTAATCCCAACAAAATCTATAGACCCCTTCACCATCTCAACTTCTTCATTTGTGAACTTTGGAAGCCTGTCGCCCACAATCCTCACCATTGATCTTGGGTATGTACCATATACAATTGGGTGCAGAAACCTATGATCCACAAGAGAAAATGAACTCGTAAAACATTGTGTCTTCGAAATAGAAAAAATCAGAGACAAATTAATGCTTGTATAATAGAAAGAAAGGCGCAAAATTTGTGTTCTATAATAAACTGAATTGGGTTTACACTAAAAACTGGTAGAAAGTTAGAGCGAGGTAAACCGAAAAAATTGCACGGCAGGCAGCTACTAGGAGAGCTCAAAAGTTAAAAAAACAGTTCAGAAACAATTGCTTTTGATTAACAATATGCATTACTCATATAAAGAGGAAATAGCCAGAGGAAGCCATATATGCGTCAAGGGAAACAATTCTTACCACCCAAGGGAAAAATCTCTTGACCTCTGAGCTGCTCGAACATCAGCCCTCGCAGCAGTGAGAGGCTCATACCACACGAAGTCTAAAAGAATTCCAATTCTTCCCTTCTGGGTAGCCTGTACGTTTTCCCAAAAGAAGAAATTCAGTAATAAAATTAACAGAGGCAAAGTCTTATCTAACCACTTGTTGGAGGTATCTTTTACCTGATATTTCTCTCTGTATCGCTTCACTGCTGATGCGTGAGATAGAATAAGATTATGAGCAACGATGTAAGGCTCAGTTGTGGAATTCCCAGCCGTACAGTTCCCAAAAGGTGCTGAGCATCTCCCAGGAGCAAAGATGCCATTGTCATAGCCAAGAGCAGCAACAACCCTAGGCTCATTGAAAGTCATCCAGTTCTTGACTCTGTCTCCAAAAGTTTTGAAACAGAATTCTGCATAATCTGCGAAATCATCCCTGCAAATTCATGAAAATCAAACTTCAATGAAACTTAAAGTTTTAAGATGACCTAACTAACAAAAATATAAGGAAAAAGATCTATCATGCAAAAAGGGGCTGAAAGTAGATAAATATTCGTCAATATCATTAAGAAGATCAACATGTTTGAAACAAAATTAAACCAAAAGAATAAGAAAAACTATTCAACCTCAAACAGAAGAACACAGTAGGAAAAATCAGCCAAAAGAAACAATGAAAATGGGAAAAAGGGTAGCAATAGCAGTCTAGTTAAAGGTTTTCTTAAACTATGAGATGATCCAGAAGCTCAGCATTTTTAAAAAAACGACATATAAAATTAAAGCATAATATATGTACTGTTAAAAAAGAGAAAATTAACTTATCAAACTCAAAATAGAAACTAGGAAAAGAACATGAAACTTACACAACTCGACGATTTAGCAGCCCATTGTAGGACTCCTCAAGGGCCTCTGGCAAATCATAATGATAGAGATTTGCATAAGGAGTAACACCTGTAATATGCAATTCAGAATAAGGTCACTATCAATTAAACGAGCAACTTCAACAACTAAAAAAGATCCATACCCAAATTCAGAAGTTAAAGTGTCAAACAAATCTAAATAATTAGCATTTAAATACCCCTTTCAAGCAAGTAATCAATCAATCTGTTGTAATAATCGACGCCTTTCTGATTAACTCGTCCTACACCTTCTGCATTATGAAAGAGTGTTTTAGATAAATATATATAAAAATCTATAGTATAACGATTGGATATAAATATAAACAAAAATCCATGACAAATTCTAAAGAAAATCAAAATCTTTAATCCTAGTCTTTACCCGGAAAGATTCGAGACCATGAGATAGAAAATCTATATGCATCCATGTTCATATCTGCCATGATATCCACATCTTCCTGCATAAAAAAAATCACCCATCAAAATAATTTTTCAGAAATATCAAAACAAAATATCCATTCAAAATATTAATTTTAACCTACATTGTCCTATTTACCAAAAACCAAAAAACTGCAATATGTTAAATACCTTATAACGATGGTACTCATCAACAGAAACCTCTCCTGTACTATTATCTGCCACTACACCTGTAAAAAGCAACATAATTAACTACATAACTATATGAATTCAGTGAAATAAATAAACCAAATTCGGTAAAAGAAAAGAGATAAAAAAAAAAAAAAGAGAAAACCAAACTTCAAAGGAGAAGAGAAGAAAAGAAGGAGTAGATTCAAAAGGAAAGAAAACCAAAATTCACATAAAAAAAAAGATATCAAAGACTGGAAAATGAATTTGATTGTTCTTAAGATTTACCAGGTTTCCGAATAAACACATCCCATATACTCGGTCCTCTGCCATCTTTATCTGCAGCTCCTTCGACTTGATAAGCAGAAGTGGCGGTTCCGAAGACAAAACCAGGAGGAAATCCCTCTCGACTCAGGCCACCTGTGCTCATATCCCCTGCATCTGGCCAAACCAGAGGCTCACCTAAACAGCATTGGTGAATTAAGCACAAGAAGAGCAGAAAACTTAAGGAAGAAAGCTTCATCCTCTCTCTCTACACTGGAAGTAGTATTGTTTAGAGAGAGATTGAAGGTGGAGAGGGATGAGGGAATTTATAGCAGAGCAAGCCCCAAAAAACAGGATTTTTTCCATTAAAGCGTTGTCTTTTATCAACATAAACGGGGATACAGAGCATCAGAAGACGACGTTAGAGAGAGAAAGTGGGGTCTTCTTTTAGACCACTGTAGAGAGAGAAAGAGACTGATCTCACTAAGATTTAGATTTTGACAGTGATTTACGTCATGCAGTGTGATGTTTTGGATTACGAGATAATATTTTGGATTAACATTAAACAATTCACGTTTGACTTAATTCAAATCAATGACTTAAACAATTCATGCTTAACGGTGATGAGTGCCCATGTAGTATTTCAGGTTAAAAAAAAAAGGTGCAGTTTGTATAGAGCCGAGGCTCTAAACGATTAAATTAGACCCCACTTTCAAATAGTATTGAGAAATGTCGTTTCAATACTAAAAAGTTTGGTGAGAGCCTTAAATTATATTTTCATATTTAGTTATAAAATTTAAAGCTTTAAAAAAAATGTAAATCAAGCATATTTATGAAAGAGATGCACTATTTCCAAAACTTAAAATTCAATTTTTTCTCATGTTCATGCATCTTGATGTCGAGATGATCAATTTGATGATATTTGAGCATCAAAACAACCTCTTATAGTGACAATTTTGAGGTAGGCTCTAATTTAATTGGTTAGAGCCTAGGCTCTATATAAACTTTTCTCAAAAAAATCACATTTAATTTTTAAAGATTGCCATCTAATATTTGAGATTGTCTAATTAATTAATTAGAGCTTACCTACATTCATTAACTATATGGCCTTTGATAGAGCAAAATAGCAGATCGATCGAATAGGGCTAGGGTTGTGGTGGTAGTACCCCGCATCCTAGACAAAGGTTGGGGTAGTAGCACCCCACATCCTAGTTAGCACATTGTGTTTTTCATTCCCACAACTAACACCATCACATTAATACTTTCAAAAAGCTAACTCCTAATCTACTTGAAAAAATTGGTAGAGGCATGTCTTCCCCACTGAATTACCCAAAAAAAATAACGAATCATAATTCATATAGCTGACCCTAAATAGTTGAGAAAAAAAGCCTAACATAATGAACAGTTTTCATGTGTAAAGAAAAGCTATGGTAAAAGTTCGTTACTTTTTTTAAAAAAATCAAATTTCCGGTTGTTGCCTTTGCTCCAGTAAGTGCACTGCTCTAGGATTGTAAAATAAATGAGCACTGAACTTCCTATTTTTTACTTATTAATGAGAAATGGGTCGAGCCTTCTCCCCCATTAACTAATCAACAAAAAAAAAAAAAAAAAAAAACTTGAGCTTGCAACGTTCTTAAGCTAATAATTGCCTTGCGTGTATGAAAATCCTAAATTGAATGCCTTTGGCTTTAGAATGAGACTTTTGTCTCCCTAAAGATTAACAAGCCAAAAGATTCTATGCCTCTAGGGATAGAGATGTAAATAGGCCGATTTGGGGCTCGGGTTTGGTTAACCTTGACCCGAGCTCGAGTCTTGATTAAATACAATCAAGAATTGCCAAACCCAAACCCGGGCCCGAGTTGAAATTAAATACAATCAATAATTTTGTGCTTTTGATGCAGCATGATGTCTGCTTACTTCCTCGGGCCTAATCTGGGCTTGTTTTTGAAATATCAAATTTTGGTGATGTAGACTCTTCAACAAGCCTCATAAAGTTTTTAAAATGGTACTTTGTATATACCTAAACTAAGGAAAAGGATTATATAATAAGGTTCACATATTAAAATATAGAATTAAGGTACAACTTCTAAATCTATTGAAAATAGTTGTTTTGATGTTGGAAAAACATATAATTGATCATCACGACACCAAGATGTATAGACATAGAGAAAAAAAGAGATTTTGAGCCCTAAAAATAGCACATCTTGCAATACATTATTTGAACCGTCCATTTTTTAAATTTTCATACGTTTATAGATTTGTATGATTTGAAAAATTTTATAATTTATAATTTTATAATTAGAGATAAAACTATATTGTCGCACCATTTTAAAAATTTTCAAGATCAAAATTACATCTCAAGACAAAGTTTGGAAGTGCACCTAACTTTGATTGTTTAAGGATATAACCTTATACTAACAACCCAGATAATAATATCCCAAGATCTAACGGAAGCAATTTGTTTTAGAAGATGAGATCTAATATTAAGTGTTAAAAAGGGTGTAGCAAGGGGCACCTCAAAATCTTGTTAAAATATTTGTTGCACCAAAAACCTTTTATATTGGCGTAAATATATTCTCCTTACTAATTATGAAATTTAAATATACAAAGATGGTGTTGATCGAGTAAATCTTTAAACACTTAAAAAATTTGAGAATGGATGTTTCAGAAAATGGGATACAAGATGAATTTTTTTTAAAAAAATTTAATCCTTTATTTCATATCTACACATCAATTGTAGGGGTCTACCAAAACGGAACAATCTTAATGTGCACCTTACATTTACCGTACAAAGTTGGCACTATATATAAACTCGTTTTGTTAAAAAAACTAAAAATCATAAACCAAGTTTTTTTAAAAATAACTATAAATCTCTCGAGGTTTCTAAAGTCGGTAAAAACATTATCCCAGGCTAAAAGGTATTCTACTCCCTCAAGAGCATACTGTCTATTTACTCATTCGGGTAACCCCACCTAAGATTAGTTTTAGTATCCCAAATTTTGGGATACAACCTCTTCATTACAGAGTTAACCTTAATAATAATAATACAATCCTAATTGCACCCTCTAAGTATTTTAAAATAATAATATATCAAGATTGAGTAGAAACTGTCCAATAGGTAGAGGGTGAGATGTAAGTGTTAAGAAACTCAAAATTTAGAATTTTTGTTTATTTCAAAATAATGTAGTGATTTTAAGGTGGTTACCAAAATTTCAGACAAAAAAAATTCCTCCAAGTAAGTTATTTGACCAAGGGAATAGAACCTTCTCCCAAATAGGTATTCCTCCAAGGAGTGATTATACACGATAATATTAGGGTGGCAACGGGTTAGATAAGGGTCGGGTCTGGCAGGACCCGGAATACCACTTATAGACCCATACCCGATGGGTCCAAAGAATCCAGACCTGTACCCATACTCGGGATAGGATTTAACAACCGGGACCTGGACCTAGACCCAGACCCGTACCCGTACCCGTGCCCAAGACAAAAATGAGCTGATCTCATTTATAATGCATAATTCTGTAAAAAGCTCCCAAATTTCGTTTTTAATGTATAATTCTGTAAAAATCCCCCAAATTTCCTTAATGCCGCTTTTTCCACTTAGAGAAAGTTTATAAAAAAAAAAACTGCATTAAAATGCCAACAAAGAAAGCACAAAAGTCAAATAAAGACTTTCCAGTTTTGTTGATCTTCCACCGATCATCAAGATGCAAATAAAGAAAACATGAAAATCAAATAAAACATTGCCATTTTTGCTGATCTTCCATCACATCAAGATGCAAAAAAAGAAAGCATGAAAATCAAATAAAAACTTGCAATTTTTGCTGATCTTCTATCGAGTATCATGATGAAAAAAAAGAAAGCACGCAATTAAATAAAAACTTGTCATTTTTGCGTATCTTCCACCAAGCATCAAGATAGCAAAAAAAAAAAAAAAAACAATGCGCTAAAATAAAATAAAGACTTGCTATTTTTGCTGATATTATATCGAGCATCAAGATGCACAAAAATCAAATAAAAACTTGTCATTTTTGCTTATCAAAATCCAGCTTGGAAGAGAAACAGGGTTTTGGTAGGCCACAGGGGAAGAGAGAGAGATGAGGTTTGCATGGGGAATATAGAGAGAAAACGCAAATCTGCGGTCGAAGCTTTGAACATTGAACAGATGCAGGGCGCAACCGGCTAGGGTTTATCTGGTCGAAGCTTCGGATAGAGATAGGAAGTGAGCTCAAGCCTAACGCTTCAGCTAAGCAGAAGCACGTAGGGTTTGCACTTAGGAAAGGAATTGGGGATTTAGGGTTCGGCCATAAAAAAAAAAACTTAAAACATGATGGTTTAAATTTGCTTAATTAGGGCTAAATTATAGTTAGTTAGGCTATAATTTAGTTACGTAATTATATTTTAAAGTATACAATATGATTTTAATTGAATAATTAATTATCAATATTTATATACTTAAAATCCTATATATATATATATATTTAATAACTTATAACATATGGGTCGAGGTACGGGCCGGTCCACCAATACCTATACCCGTATCCGAAAATTTACGGGTATGCATTGTTGTACCCGGATCCTACCTACTGGTCCAAATTTGGAATCATACCCGGACCGGGTTCGGGGGTACCCGCCTTGTCCCGGGTCGGGTACTGATACATTGCCACCCCCTGGATACTCATTGGGAGCATGGTATGCTCACTCAAATAAATGAATGGGGTAAACTTATGCTCTTGCGGGTGTACATTGTACATGTATACAAAGCAAGTAAGCTACTGTCTCTGGCGTAGAACCCGTGGAACCCTTTTCTAAGCCCGCGAAGTCCTGTTCTAAAAACCACTCGCAGAGAGGAAGAACAAACGCTCGCAGCTGCTGCCCTCTGCAAACCCTAGGTTGAAGAAGAGAGGGACTCGCTTACACTCCATAGCCATCATCACAGAGCAGTAACCCCAAATAAGTGAGTTTTTTTTTTACTATTTATTATGATGATAATCCCAAATGACTGCAGTAATATAAATTTTTTTGCTGTGTTTTTTGCTGATAAACCTAAAATCGGCGAGTTAACTCTCTGATAAATCCCCCAATCAGTGAGTTAATTTTTTTTTGTTGCTATTTTGGCTCATAAACCCCAAATCAGTGAGTTAATATCAATTTTTTTGCTGCTACTTTTGATTATTCGTGGATGTGCTTCTATTTTTTTTTTCTTTTTGGGGGAATACATGGATGTGCTTCGATTTTGCACTGCTTTTTGTTTTTTGTTTTTATTTTCTGCTTGTTATTTGTATCACATTACCACCATGTTTGCTATGTTTGGGTTACGTTTGTGCATTTCGGCACCTCAAATGTTTTTTTGTCTATATTTTGTACGTATATAACCCAGTTGTTTACTTCTGAACTACTGTAAGTTGAAACACTTCTTTCTGTGGTGGGCATGCACAACATGCTTTGGTTCTGTGATTAATTTGTTAAGTTCTCAAACCTCCATTGATGTTTACTGTTTTTACCAATACATTCCCGATTTCCAAGTCTTGCCCAAATGATACTTTGGTCATTTGAGCCTGAATTTGTTTTGGATTTTAGTTTTGAATGATGCGTATGATTTTATGAAGCTAATGTAAGTGATACTGCATGCAAGCTGCTGTCTTTTGTTAATTAAAGTGATGAGGGGCAGTGTATTGGTATTTTCCTAGATTTCTTGTGTTGAGCCATTTGAGTATGTAATTACTTTGTAAGTTTGTAAATTAGTTTGTGAAGGTCTTGGTATTTGTTGCTCTGCATAGGTATTATGTGTTGCAATTAAATATCTGTGATTGATCCTGACATAAATCAAGAACCTCTTAGTAAATACTGACATTACTACTTTACTACTTTATGTTCTATGATTAATTTGTTGAGTTCTCAAACCTCTATTGATGCTTACTATTGTTACCAAGTCTTGAAGGCTGCCTGTACATTTGATTTAAGAAAAATCAATTTTGTTCAATATTAATGTAAGTATTGGTATTCCTTGAATCTATTTACGTGTTTGGTATTACATTGGATGAATGGAAGGAACCTTATTTCATTACAAAATGTTTTCAAAAAATTGCATTTCGCACATCATATCAATAAAATACATAATGAACAGTATTACATGCAATTTCCAGCTTTCCCGTCACCAAATAGGTGAAATTACCAGCACCACAGTTTATCAAACAGGCTTTCAAGCTTTCACCCTACCAATTTTCACTTGCATCCCAGAATCCAGGAGGAAAGTCAACAGCAGGGGTGATTCCCAGGGTGACTGCAGTGAAAGTTATCAAACACTACCTTCCTTTCTTCCGCTTTCTCCCATTATCTGCACTCTCTCTGTACACTCTCCCTCACTTCCGCTCTTTCCCACTTTCTGCACACACACACATTCTCTCTCTCTAAGCCATAAGCATATTGAAGTTTTTTTTGTAGAAGCCTTGAATCCACCACTAGCCTGGAGCGTTTATTTTTTTCTCATTTTCCTTAGAGAACCCTTCTCGGTAAGAAAACCTAGTTTTTATTTTTCAGTAAATCACAATAAAAAGCATGTTCAATTTACAATATATCATTGGAAAAAAAACCTAGAAAATTCAGTGTTTTTTAGTTGTTTGCAACATAAAAAAAGAGGATTTTTTGGTGATTTACTGTAATCGTTCGCAAAATAGATTTATAGTATAACGTCGAAGAATCACAAGAAAGGTCCGTTTTTTTTGGTGATTGTGCCCTGATTTATTGTATTAAGAAGGGGAGATTTTAGTGATATAGGGTTTTTCTTTTTGGTTGAGTGGAAAATTTTTAGGGAGTTGAGTTCTAAAGGCAATCCAAGCTAATGTATGCTTTCCCTTCTTTAATAATTGCCCAATAAATTCTGTAATAAATTACCAAAGAAACACTCATATTTGAGTAGACTGGCCCAAGTTTTATTGGGGTTTCTCTTTTTGGTTTAGAGTGAAGTTTATGGAGGGGTGGAGTTCTAAAGCCAATTCAGGTGGTGATAGCCATATGATTTCTCAATTAACTTGAAGTCCATTATAAGACTTCAGAGTTTTTAATCATGTACTTGCAAGATTTCTTAGTTTTAAATTTATCATATGGATTTTATTGTAATTCATGTACCAAGGATGCAATATTCATGGCAAAGAACTTAGCAGTTTAGGGTTTTGTATGCCAATAATTGGTTTTATTGGAATCTTTGTGGCCAACAGAGGAGTTGTTTGCTAACTTGTATTGTTTAGCCTTATAAAGAAACAATAGAATACACCGTGAGGCCTTATTTGATGAGCCTTACTGAAGATAATTGATGTCATCATCATCATCATCATCATAGCCTTTTTCAAATTAATTAGGGTCAACTACACAAATCATGATCCACCATTCTGTTCTATTAAAGGCCATACCCTTAGTGATGCCATAAGTCCCCATATCTTTTTGAACTACTTCCAGCCACATCCTTTTGGGCCTATCCCTTGCCCTTTTAAGTCCTTATGCTTGAACTAACTCTCACCTTCTAACAGGTGTTGTACTTGGTCAGCGCTACACATGGCCAACCTACCTAAGTTTACTCTCTCTCATCTTATCGCTTATTGGTGTCACACCTAAATTCTCCCGAATGGATTCATTACAAATTCTATCCCTTCTTGTCTTGCCACTTATCCACGTCAACATTCTCATCTCCGCTACACTCATTCTATGAGTATATTGTTTTTTGTTAGTCCCACATTCAGCCTCATAGAGCAAAGCTGGTCTCACAGTTGTCGTATAGAACTTACCCTCAGCTTCATTGGTATACGATGATCACATACAATTCCAGTTGCATGTCTCCACTTTGCCCACCCAGCTCTAATTCTATGTGCGACATATTCCTCAATCTCTCCATTTCACTGGATTATCAACCCAAGATATCAAAAGGGTGATGATCGTAAACTTTCCCTTAACCCGTCCCATAACCGGGTAAAGGGGTTGGGTGGTATTAGGTAAGTAGCCAATATAAATTTTGCCAAAACTTATCATGAATCCTAAACTGAAGATAATTGATGTAACCAAGCTAACCTCCAGATAACCAACCTAAGAATAAGCAAGTACACATACTCTTATTAATTTATTAAAAAAAAGGTCGAAGAACTAAGTACCACAACGTTGTGAGCTTGTTTCAGTCTTTACCAGTGCTCGCAAAACCGGCCGTTCCGAACCGGAACCGGCCAGTTAGATCGGTACCGGCAAGGTACTTATTCCGGTTAAGGCCGGTTTTGGGGTACTAGTAAAAATTCGGGCACCTCCAAAAAAAATCGGCCGGTTCAAGTTCGAACCAGCGGTTTTACTTCAAAACTAGCCGGTTTCTACTAACCGGTCCGGTTTTTTGATGTAATAGGTGATATATCGGACATAACGGTATTCTATTAAATAACGGCTGTTATTTCAAACAGAGGCCGTTATTTTAAACAGAAGTTATGATTCACGTTTTGCAACCTTTTTTTATTTAATTTTCTGGCTTTTTTTGTTTTTTTCCGTTAATTATTGCACTTGCACACCTGAAATTTTCTATAATTAACTGTTTATTGAATAAAAAATCGAAGAAGAACGATTTTTTTGTTGATTGAAATGGCGGATTTCTGAAACTGTGAAATTTCTGCCATTTTGTCAATATGAGCTTCAATAACCCACGAATATGCATGGAAATAGAGGGCTTGCATTCATTATTGAATCATTACACTTTTTTCTATTTCGATTTGTCGAAAAAGATGAATTTTGGAGTTTGATTTCGGCCGAAAATGCTGCTGCTCGAAGAACTGTGTTCGATGAAAAAAAAATTGATTTTTGATTGATGTATTGATCATTTTTTATTGAATTGATCAGTTAATTTTGATCATCAAAACTTCATAAATCGAATACATCAGGTATGTTGATTTATCATTCAGTATATTTATTTATATGAATTTGTTTTTGGTGCGTTTTTGTTTTGAAAATTGCGTGAAGTGAAATATCTGCCATTTTTTGAAGAATGATCTCAATTGTGAATTGATCTTCATGATATTTGAGGCATTTTAATTGTGATTGAAGTATCCATCATATCCCCCTGTCAATTTGTTCAAAAATTGAAAGATTTGGGGCTGATTTTGACTCTAAAGAATCTGTGTTCTGTGGCTCGATTTTAGGGTTCTTAAAAAAAAATTTGTTTCTTAATAAAATTACGTTTTTTTTTATAAAAATATATTATTTGTGATGAATATGAGAAAAAATAGATTCTTTCTTTTTAGTTTTATATATTTTTGGTGATGTTTTTAATGTTATATATTTTTTTTTTACAAAAATGTCTTTCTGTGATTAATATGAGAAAAAAAATTTCTTTCTGTTAATGTTGAGCTTGTTGGATTGTTTTTAATGTTATATATGTAGATATATATATTACAAAAATATGTTTTTTTTATGAATATGAGAAAAAAAAATTTCTTTTTAATGTTATATATTTTTGGTGACCTTGTTGGATTGTTTTTAATGTTATATTTTTTTTTTTTACAAAAAAGATGTTCTCTTTATGAATATGAGAAAAAAAATATTTCTTTCTTTTAAATTTTGTATAGTTTTGGTGACCT